CCCCTCACCACATGATCACTCCCAGGCGCTGAAGGACGATGCCGCAAGGCCGCCAGCTTGGGCCCCACAGCACAGAAGCGACCACCATGAAAGACGGAAGTCGGGGGTCGCCGAGATCGGGGCCGAGCGGAGAGGCGGTGAAAGGAACGCCCCGAGGCGCCGGAGCGGTGAGAGCCCGGCTGGACTCGGGGGCTCGCGCCGCGGACTGCAGCCTGGAGGCCGGCCGAGGGGCGTGGCCTCGGGCCCAACCTTGGCGCGGGGGGGGGGGCGCCGGGCGGAGGACAGCGGGCGGCGGGGGCTGTCCTTCTGGCGTTGGTGGCCAAAGGCGGCGTCGGACACCAAGCAGCCCCTCTGAGTCCCTCAGTGACCCATGTATCCGGGGCGCGAGTAAGGGAAGGGCAAGTGCCTAATGTTTCTTGGTCCCCCCCCTCCAGGTTGCAATGGAAGGAGCCGGAACGTCACGTGATCCGGTTTGGCAGGTCACATGACGAGGAGCCCCCAGCGGCTGGTTTTTGGGGAAGGCGTCTAGGTCGCGGAGGTCCTGGTCACCTTGGAGGTGGGCTCCCAGTAGCAGGGGATTGGAACCGACTTTCCCCCTCAGATGCTGTACTTTCGGGTGGTATCTATCCTGTGGGGGACATAGAAATTCACGCCGAGAGAGGACGCCCGTTTCCCCGCGCATCCCGACCCTTAAACAGAGATTCCGGCGCAGTACAAGGACATGAGACCCTTCCTGAGGTCGAGCGGACGGTTGCGGCCAGAACGCTTTCAAATTGCGGAGCGTTCTGGGCATTGGGAATACTTGAGTGACGTTTGCTACCAAACATGGAATACTAAGAGGGTTTGGATGCCAAATCCAGGAAAAATATGGGCGTCAGGAAAAGCCGAGGGAAAGTAGACTGTGGGTAGGTTGTGAAGGTGCGTGGTCCTGCTAAATGTACTGGAGAAAGACATAATACACAAAACATCCCTTTGCTTCCCTACTGCAAACTAAGGAAACGGATGATAGGCCCTTTGAATAAGGTAGGGGACACGACTTTAAAAATATGAGGAAGTCATTCACTCCAAAGAAAAAGCTTGTATACTTCACTGGTAAGAGGCAGGTTTGTAATAATCACTCAGGGAAATGCATGTTTGAAGAACACAGTTCTGTTCTGAGCTTGTACCCAGCCTAGTGAAGACAGTGATCAAAGCATGATTGAGAGGGGCCATTCTGAACCCACGACAAACAAACCGTGGTCAGTATAATTTTGTGGTACTTTGTCACTTATTTTGTGCATATTGTTCTGAAAAGGGTAATGAGAGAGGACATAGAACCTGGATCACAGGTAGTGACTGCAGTGTACTAAAGGGACTGGGAAAATGGCCTTGAGACATGAATTTCATGTCTCTCTTGTTTGAGACTATTTGGGGAAGGAAACCAAAAGATTTTAGTCTGCTCTAGGAGCACCTTTTGTATTCCAGGACTTTTGGGGGTAGGTGTGTGAATAGCGGTGGAGGGAAAGTTGCAAAAGAACAGAATCAGGAATTTTTAAGTTGCCCACCAAGCATGAAGTCTAGCTCCTGGGAAAGGAGAATTAGTTGAGGTAGTTCACTTCTCCAAGAAATCCCCCCACCCACCCCTGAGAGCATTCTCTGGATGTTTGCAAGTAGAGTCAGTGCTTCAGGCCAGATCAGGCAGCCTTGTCCAGGTACTGCCCCTGAGGGCCACATTCAGCCTGCAGCCTGTGCACGTCTCTAGCAAAGCACAGGGGTATTAGTTTTGTTTTGTTTTTGTATTTTTAAATGTAAAACAAAAGAAGAATATTTTGTGACACGTGAAGTTCACATTTCACTGAGCATGAATAAAGTTTTATTGGAACACATTCACACTCATTCATTTTCATATTGTCCCATTTGCTACAATGGGAGTTGAGTAGTGACAGAGTCTGTGTGGCCTACAAACCATACAATTTTCATGTGGTCCCTTTTACAGAAAAGGTTTGCTGCCTCCCCTTCCCTCCTAGCACCCCACTCTCCCCACCACCACCACCCTGCCTGGGCCAGTGGGCTACTGATGCAGAGAATTTATTTCCGAGAGCTGAAGTTTTCCAGGTGGGGGCACCATAGAGCTCAGATAGTGATACTGTTCTCTATGTTGCTGGGCTTTAAGTATTCGTAGGCAAGGTCAAGTTGCTCATTCCGGGCTGTCATTTCCCTCTCCCACTTTTCCAGATCTGCTTGGAATTGGTTTAGTACAGCTTTGGTCTTGGAGCCCGAGAAATACTGTTCTTTGTGATGCCCCAGAGGAACCTAAGAACGAACAAAGGATCAGTCAGTTTCTAGTTTGAAGGCAGAAGCACATATAGTAATCACATATAGAAATTTTCTGATATTTGCAACCATAGTAAAACAAAGACTTATATTTTTGATATTTATTTTATATATTTAAATGCCATTTAACAAAGAAAAATCAACCAAAAAAATGAGTTCGCGTGTCAGAGGTGTCATAGGTTCGCCATTGCTGACCTAGAGCTTAGCCCCTCACTCTGATGTTGGCCTTCCATAATCATTTCTCTTTTCCCAGAGTCCTCACTTACCATGTCTGGCTGGCGTCGACCCAGATGCCATGTGATGGTCATTTGAAGACAGGCCTGTTGGACATCAGGGAGTGAGCCCATCACTGTGTCCATTGTCACATCTTCCTTGGTGGTGGGTGGGGGCATTCGCATTGTGCATGGGGCATTAGGCACCCAGGCATACCAGTCCAGCTGGGGAAAGAAAGTACAAACCTAGGATCCTGGCACTTAGGGTTTGAACCCCTATCTCTCCCTTGGGTATCCATTTGCTTTCGGGACCTGGGCTTTCATCTGTCCATACCTGGCCCTTGTTGATGGCCCCATGCTGGGCTGTGCACGTGAACACACACATGGTAAGGAAATGGCAGAGCTGATTCAGAGACTGGAAGGAGACAGGGAAACCTGGGGAGGAAAGAAACAGGATCTAGAGGCTACAGCACGAGAGGAGAGAAATAAAGGTTGATGTCTGCGTTTTGGAATTGATGGGTGTTGGTTCATTTATTCAAATATATTTGCATCAGACATTAGTTTCAGTTCAGGCTCAAGCAATCCAGTTTGGGTACCTTAAGCCAATTAACTCTCTGACCTCAATTTTTTCACCTATAAAGTGTGGATGATACTTACCTTCTAAATGAGATACTGTATCAAATATTGATATAACTGCTTAATAAGTAATTATTGTCATTATGGAAGGGTTGGGGGCTGAAAGGGTTAAGTGATCAAATATCTTCTGCCTTAAAAAATGGTTAAGAATTAGGGTTGCTCCCCCCTATTCCCAATTATAATGTGAGGAATAAGAGAAGTCATGATTTCTCGTGTCACAGCCAAGAGAGGCTTTCTACAAAGGTTATCCCAGGCCACCCAATAATCCTATCAGTTAAGTGGAACAAGTATAATCACTCTCCTTTTATGGATAAGACAGACACAGTTGGGAAAAGGCAGAGGCTGACCTTGAACTTGGGATCCTGACTGCTAATTTCTGACAGTTTTTAATCTTAACACGTTTCCTCTACAAGTCTATTGGGAAAATTAGGCAAAAGTCATCTATGAGAACTGAGGGAGAGAGAATGAGAGGCCGTTAGTTGGAGGTTAAAGTTAACATGTGGAGGTTGTATTTTCCAAATGTAGTTGGTAATAGTTGGGGAAAAGATGGCCAGGCAGAGGAATTACAGACTTGGGGGCATGTGGAGCCTAAGGAACAGTATTGAGATGTCCTAGAGCAGGGGTCCTCAAACTACGGCCTGCGGGCCACATGCAAATACAAATATTGTATTTGTTCCCGTTTTGTTTTTTTACTTCAAAATAAGATATGCACAGTGTGCATAGGAATTTGTTCATAGTTTTTTTTTTAAAACTATAGTCCGGCCCTCCAACGGTCTGAGGGACAGTGAACTGGCCCCCTGTTTAAAAAGTTTGAGGACCCCTGTCCTACAGAGTTTGGTCCTGGGAGGGTGGGGATGGTGCTGCCTCAGATTCTGCAGGGAGAGGCCCCTCCAGAGCATAGGTGTTGGCTTATTGCTCACTGCATCTCCCGGGTCTGACTACAATGGCTCCCCAGTAAATGTCTGTAGGTGTCCTACAGAGGCAGAGATGCTGGTGTGAAGTGTGAGGAGCAGGGACTGAAGGACGATTTGAAGCAGTCCAGGTTGGTCCACGTGTGCTAGAGAGACGAGGATGAACCTAGGAGAGCTCAAGAAAGGCAATTTCTTCCCCAGCAGTTAAATGTGATTCGGGTATGCTAAAGCTAATGACTAGATCTTAAGCCAGTGGCTATATCCTAGCAGGGGTGGGGGGAGGACATATTGGCAAAGGAATGTGAGCACTAGGGACAGGGAACTGAGTTTAGATTTGAGCCAAAGGTATAGTATTGAGCTTGCACCTCGAATGACCGTGTACTGTGGTAAAGTGTGCAGTATGCCTGGACCCTCTGTGTGTGCTGGACAGTAGCAGACAGGATAAGAAAGGAAAACCAGAGTGGGTCATTGTGGGATTTGGTGGGAAAATCTTCTCATTCATATCCTCAGGCAGGAAAATAGACACCATGGGAGAGATGTGAGCCCCAGTAGGGCCTGGTCAGATCCTCCACTGGCTGTGGTTCTGGACCCACTGGGCCCCATGCTGTGGCAGGTTGGGGGCATCTGTGACTAGACAAGGGGGAAGGACATAAAAGTTGATGGTCAGGGTCTTTGAGGAGGATAATCTTTGAGTTTCTAGGATTGTCCTGAGACTTAGGAGGTGGGAATGAGATCCAGATGCTTCATGTGTGGAGGGGGAGAGGGGGATGAAGGGTTGGGATCATGTCCCCAGAAGGGCAAGGCCGACAAGGGGCTCTGGGCAGAGTGTCCAAGGAGTTCTCTTCTCTGGGGAGGGATCTCACCTCGGTCCTGGGCCTGGCACAGCCCCACCTCAGTGATCTCCCGACACCAGGCCTGCAGCTCAGGGTCCCCTCTCACGACGTCATCCCCGTGGTAGAAGAGGTGGACGATCCCTTCCACGTACCTGCCCAGAGGAGAAGGGAGCTGAGCTCCTTGAGAGTACAAGGCCCTAGCCTCTGACCTCTACTCCTTTTCTGTGGCCTCTGTCCAACACACTCTTACTATGTCTGAGTGTAGATCTTTCAAGACTTGTCTTTTGAGACATTAATGTAGAAAGGAATGAAATTTGGTCACTTGTAGAAATTCTCCATACATAGTTGATAGATAAAATGGACACAGTTGGAACAAAAACCCTGATTTCTCCAGATCCCCCAGTCTCCCCATCCACAGCTATCCCAGCCGAGGCTGTCTACCCCCATCCTAGTCTCTTCCTTATCAGACCCTACTCGCTGTCTCCTCACTGTCCCTCATCTCTCCCAGGATTGAGTCCTCTGCTCCTCCCGTCTGGGCCTTCTTGTTTCATGTTCCTTTTGTCCCATGATGATCTCAGGCCAAAGCCCCATTTTCATTGTCATTTCTCAGCTCCCACTCTCACCCACCGGGCAATGATCTCCCAGAGCCGTAAAGCATCATGGGCATAGAGGGCACTTGGGATGCCCAGCAGGCCTCGGTCAGCCAGATCGTCAGGAGGACAGAGGGAGCGGTAGGTCAGCTGAGCCATAGCCCGACGGATCAACTGCACATGGCCGCCTCCACCAGTGCTCACAGCCTGGGACAAGAGAGATGAGAGGCCTTGAGGAAGAAGACAGAGCATAGTGTACAGGAGGTTCAGATGTGGGGTTCTCACATTTAAAGACATGGGTATAAAGGACAGACTCCTGGGTTTAAGGGTCAGGGCATTCACACAGGTTGGTCTGGGATCTTGAACGTGACAGCAGTTAGATGGCCCCACATTCCATTACCTCCTTACCTTATCAAACACACCTCCCTCTGAGATGAGTTGGGTCCTTGCCCGTGTGTTGATCTCTATGGTGTAGCGGGTGTGTGGGATCAGGAGCTGGATGGAGAAGGTTGGAGGAGTGGTTTATGGAGGACGTGCTTGGGTCCTTCTTTATCAGGGAGTGGCGCTCAGCATGGTGGCCTCCTGTCCTCTTGATGCTTTCCTCCTTGCTAGTGCCTTTGCAAGCTGGTCTCCTTCTACTTCTCTGGTCACTCATTCTCATGCTCTTTACTCCCCTGTGAGTCAGGCTCTGGAGCTAGACCTACCTGGGTTTCAATCTACACTTTGATCCTTGCCCAAGGTACTGGACCCTCTAATAATAATCTGTCTCATCCCCTATCTGTCACCTCATCTGCCAACAGGGGGTGATAATAGGGTTTCTTATCTCGGGAGGCAGTGGTGATGCTTAGGTGAGTGACGTATGAAGAGGGTATAGTACACACAGAAGTCCTCAGGTCTCAGCTGTTGTCATTTATCTTCATTATTTCCGCCTTCAGTGTTTGATTTTAAAGAGTCAGCCCCTTTTGATTTTCTTTTATATTTCTATCATTTGCATCTTCATAACTCATAATTACCTCTTTACTCATTATCAAAGCCACACTCTTATCTTCTGGTCGCTTCACAGTTGGCTTTTAGGGGGTGAATACCTTTAGTCAGAATAAAAGGAGGCATTCTAAGCTACCTACTGAAGCAACACGGGGGCTGCACGGTCCCCTTAGGCAGTTATTTTTAATAGCTTTTTAAACAAGAGCTTTCCTGAAGTGTTAAAAAAGGCTACATGAGGATGTGTATTTCTTTTTATCTCAGACTATTTTGTGTTCATTTCCACCCAGTTTATATACAGGTCTTCTGTAGTGTTGGTGTTTATCTGAGTTCATGCTGGACACAGGGAATGTGATACCTCTGGTGTCAAGATGTCAAAGCAGCTCACAGTCTGAAACTTTTCAGAAAGTTGATGAAAGAGGTTGAGTTGTCATAGAAAGTCCAAAGTCCACATGAGGAGAGAAGATACCTGAGGACAATCGATTCCTAATAAGAGTAGCAATAATATCAGGAACTAATGGTTTTTCTAGCTTTCAGCCTGTGTTACATTGTTATGTCGTTTTATCCTTCATCAACCCACGGTGGAGCTCCTGTTGTCCTCATTTAGAGATGAGGACACTGAAGCAAGCCTCTGGTCAGTTCTGAGGCCAGGATTCAGGATTAGATGCTGGCAGTCTGAATCCAGAGCCTGCCTACATTACAGGTTCCTTCTCCTGTGTGTCCTGATAACAGCTCAGCGGTTTGCCAGGAGATGAAGCTGTTTTGGTGAGTGGATGGAGGTGTGGAGAGGGATGAACTAGTAAAGGGGGGTGAGCAGCAGATTGTGATGCAGGAGCACCACGAGGTCAGTAAAATCCAAGATTCTATTAATCACCCAGATTCCATCTCGTCTATGTTACCCCAGACTCAATGAGGCCATAGCTACTATTGGGCAGGTTTTGGGGTCAGGGTGTAAACCCCCAGCTTGAAACACAGTTCAGTTCTCCTTATCCAGATACTCATTTGCATATCTTGCCAACATTTCAAACTCTGTGGACCTGACACTAAACAACTTGTGTTTGTTTCCAAACTGTCTTTCTCTCATGACTATGCTGTTTTTGGCAGTTGCTCTGGTTCATAAGCTTCTATCAGTATTGTCCCTTCTCTGCCATGTTCCCTATACCTCAAGTGTCATCGAGATTTTGAGAATAGCCCTAGCCAGTTTGGCTCAGTGGATAGAGCGTCGGCCTGTGGACTGAAGGGTCCTGGGTTTGATTCCGGTCGAGGGCATGTACCTCGGTTTAGGCCCCATCCCCGGCCCCAGGTGTGTACAACCAATCCATCTCTCTCTCTCACATCTATGCTTCTGTCTGTCTTTTCCCCTCCCCTTCCACTCTCTAGAAATCAATAGAAAAATTTCCTCAGGTGAGGATTAACAACAACAACAACAACAAAAGATTTTGAGAATACTTTCAAGCAAGCACAAGTCTTATTTTGCTGCCTTTTGCCTGGCAGTAGATACTGAGCTCACTCTCTTATAAAATTACAACCCATCCATCCTGTGGACTCTTAGGTGTTACAGCTTAGACCTGTGACCTTTCTCTCTTCGGTCTTATTTGAAGTAATGTGCACCTGCTGTTTCCTCCAAGTCTTTGATTTGTTTTCTTGTCATTCCTGTAACCACCTTGCATGTCTTTCTCCACCTATTTCCTGGGCAGGTATAAGTAACCTACTGGGGTGCTCTCCTTGCCCTTTGATCCATTCCTACAGCAGACTCCTCAGTTGGGGTGGGACATTCTCTGTCAATACTATAGTGTTTATAGGCTGTCTTGTGATTTCAAATTATATCTAGTTCTAGATATTATTCACTGGTTAGTTCTTATGGGCATCACTTGTTTTCTTGGATAAAGAACAAATCTCCTAAGACAGGAGCATGGGTTTTGTTTTACTAACAATATTCCAGTAATACTCCAGGTCATTGCTAGATGGTCAGGTCTCTGGAATTTCAGAGGGTTCCCTTATAACATGTCCTGAAGAAACATTAGGTGACTTGATGGAATTAAAACGCAAGTCTTAAAATATTGACACAGTCTTCCTTTACTTCCCTCTTTCTTTCACAAATGGATGTAAACATTTTTTTGCTGCTGCAGTATCATGTGATACTGGCATTTCCCCTCTTGGATCTGAGCAAGATGGGACATGGAGGGTAGAGGATTTACCTTGAAGACAGGGTGCAGTCCTGGGAGGCACCTCATGGTGGCGACAGCAATGACTTCACCCACCAGATGAGTGTTCAGCAGATGGTATTGGAGCTGGTGCAGTTGGAAATCTGAATTTCGGACCCAGATCTTTGCCAGGAGCCAGGCAAGTGGAGGATCCGAAGGCAGGAACAGTGATGGGGTCGGGGAGCTGGGGCTGGGAGGCTGGATCTGGGAAAAAGAAATTGAATGTTTATTGAACTTCCACTTTATGAAGGACATTATGGTCACCATTCCTGGGGAAACAGAGGGAACTGAGTAAGGTTATTCTTTTCCAGGAAGTTATAATCTAGTAGGAGGAACGAGGACCCTTCCACCCTGTCTCTCACTGGCTGTGCGGCCATATGAGTGCCATGATGGTCAAGTTGAATGCAGGAGAGTCAGAAGCAGAAGTCCAGTAAGGAGATTCTAACAGTGGTTTGGGAGAACTGTGGTGAGGTTCTGAGTTAGGGTGGGAGGATTGAAAAGGAGAAACTGTATGTGTTAGATAATTGACAGTATTTGCTAACTGCTGAGAACTTTGGGAGAAAAGATATTCAGGAAACAATGTGTATTTAGAGTCAAGGCAACTGAGAGAGTAAATAGTGATTCTCAAAGTGTGTTCCCAAACTAGCAGCATCAGCATCACTTTGGAACGTGTTAGCAAGGCAAATTCTCAGTCCCCACCCGAGGTCTACTGAATCAGAAAATCTGGTGGTGGACCCAGAACCTGTGTTTTAACTGGCCCTTCAGGTGGTTCTAACGCACACTAAAGTTTGAGAACCACTGAGTACAGGGTGAGAACTCCAAGAGGCCATTATGACTCTTGAACAGGTACTTCCAGTTGGGTGAGTCAGGGAAAACCAGGCTGCAAGCAAAGACTGACATGAGGACACGTCTCACTGTGTGAGGATTGAATTTGGGAACCAAGAGCCAGAGGGCTGGGTCCCTGGGAGCAGAGATTGGGATGAACAGAGAACAGTGTTGGGAGGCGGATGCCCTGGTGCCTCACCTGGATGACCATGGGCAGCAGCTTCCCACTGGGTTCCATCTTCAGCATGACAAGGGGGGCAGCCAGGTACTGCTGCTCTTCTCGGATCACATTGGCTGGAATTCCATCCAGAAGGATGAAGTCAGCCTCAAACAGGGAACCTTTCTGGGGAAAAGTTGAACATATCCATAGTTAGAATTCAAAATCTACAGAGACAGGGCAAAGGAGGCAAGACATTTAAAGATACTTAATTTGCCCTAACTGGTTTGGCTCAGTGGATAGAGCGTCAGCCTGCGGACTGAAGGGTCCCAGGTTCAATTCCAGTCAAGGGCATGTACCTTGGTTGCAGGCACATCCTCAATAGGGAGTGTGCAGGAGGCAGCTGATCGATGTTTCTCTCTCATCGATGTTTCTAACTCTCTATCCCTCTCCCTTCCTCTCTGTAAAAAATCAATAAAATATATATTAATAAATAAATAAAGATACTTAATTTTATTAACCAATATCACTCCAATAAATTTAATTAAAAAATAAAGATATTTATCTAGTGTCTTGCCATCATCCTATATTAGTACCAGAGCCCTATTGGCAGAACCAGAGCATCTTGTCCAATTCCTTTCATCTATATATATAAAAGCCTAAGCGACTGAATGACCAAACGACCAGTTGACCAGTTGCTATGACCACTGGGGGGCAGATGCTCAATGCAGGAGCTGCCCCCTGGTGGTCAGTGTGCTCCCACAGTCAACCTCCCGTGGTCCCTCCCCCTGGCTGGCCAGCCAACCTCCTGCAGCCCCTCCCCTGGAGCTGCCCTCCCCACCCCCAATCGGCCCTGAATGCCTGCCAGGCGGAGGGATCCCACCCGTGCACGAATTTGTGCACCGGGCCTCTAGTTTTTTTTTGTTTTTTTTAAAAATATATTTTATTGATTTTTTACAGAGAGGAAGGGAGAGAGAGATAGAGAGTTAGAAACATCGATGAGAGAGAAACATTGACCAGCCGCCTCCTGCACATCCCCTACTGGGGATGTGCCCGCAACCCAGGTACATCGAACCTGGGACCTTTCAATCCGCAGGCCGACGCTCCATCCACTGAGCCAAACCGGTTTCAGCATAGTTTTAAATAAAGGAAGAAACAACCTAGTGTGGGTTGATGGCTTGTGCAGGTTTTGTGGTAGCAGGTCTGGGTTTAGAACCAGGCCTCAGTCCAGTTTGCATTGTAGGCATTGCAAACTCTCCCATTGTCAAGATGGCTGTGCCCCTTCCCCAACATCCCCTAGCGCTCTGCTCCCTGTGTTGGGTGCCCATCAGCTCAGCAAACGCTCTTTCACTCACTGTCCAAATTTCACCTCCTTTGCCAAGTAATCCTCAGAGGTTCCTTGACTATCATTGCCATGGAATCCAGACACATGCACATGGACATGCTCACATCCTGCTTTGTTTGTCTGCCTTACATCCAACTCATCTTTTCTGTATCCAGCTTCCTCCTCCAGGAAACCTCCTCAATTCCCCCCCACCTGACAGTGCATTCTTTTTTTTTTTTTTTTTAAATATACTCTTATTGATTTCAGAGAGGAAGGGAGAGAGAGAAAGAGAAACATCAATGATGAGAATCATTGCTTGGTTGCTTCCTGCATGCTCCCTACTGGGGAGCAAGCCTGCAATCTGGGCATGTGCCCTTACCAGGAATTGAACCTTATCCTCCAGGTTCATAGGTCAATGCTCAACCAATGAGCCACACTGCTGGGCTGACAGTGAATTCTTCACTTTTCTTTCTGCCCATGAACACTGGGAATGTGTTTGTCCCAGTTAACATGTCTGGCCCCACCTGCATGCACCTTGGACATCCATGCTGGGAGTTCCTCATAGTTTCTCCTACATGTTTTATCATCTCTGGGTTTTTTCCCAGCACAGGACTCTTCACCCAAGGACAAGAGTTACCACAGCCTCCCTTCCCAGACTCACTTTTGGTTCCTTCTCTTCACCACTTCTCCCCACACAGACAAGGAGAGAACAATGTAGGGTGGGAGGAGATACCTGGAGTTCGTTCTCCAACTGGGCCTGAATCTCTTCCATTCCCGAGGGCAGCACCAGCCGGGAGGGCAGAGAGGTGGAGCGTCTCAACAGCATGGGGTTGGCACCATTGAGGAACTGGTAGCCAAAAAACTCATCATCCTGCCAGCGCTGGTGAACCTTCTCTGTGGGGTCAGGGTGGAGGGTAGGAGGAGGATATTCTTTTAAAAAAAATTGAATTTATTGGGGTGATATTGGTTAATAAAATTATGTAAGTTTCAGGTGTATAATTCTATAATACATCATCTGTATACTATATTGATATTGTGGGTTTACCACCCCAATGATTCAGGCATATGATTGCCCTGTATCCAGCCCCTCTCTGAGATGACGTCTCATCTGGCAAGGCCTTATTGGGGACTATGGAGTATGAAGGTTAGGTCATCAAAAGGGGCCATCACAGGTTTATAGACACCTGGGGGAATCACTGACCAGCCAGATTGCTCTTCTGGCCCCAGAAGATCTGATCAAAATCCTCCAGATGGTTCCAGGAGCTCAGGAGGGTGTACACACGCTTGAGGGCCATCTCCAGTGCCCTAGGACAGGCATTGAGGCATGAACCCCTTTGCTGACTCCTCAGCCCCTCACTGTTTACCACCATTCTTGGGTCTCCCAGCCCTTAGTCTACTCTGAGCTCCAGGCTTTTCCTCACCCAGCCTTCAGTGTCCATTCAAAGTCCAGCCTCTTCTTCTCGTGGAATCTCACATTTGGAGGTAGATTGTCCTCACTGCCTGCAGCTATTGTCAGGGGTAACCCTTCCTTCCAGGTGGCCCAGCTAGGACATGGGGACAAGGTTCAGGTCAGTGATGTGGGCAGGGTCGGGGGGAGGGTGAAACTTGGGGTCTAATATGGGTGGGCGGTCACCAGTATACTTGCTGTCTTTCCTTCAGTTCCTTCTCTCGATGTTTCTGGAACACATCCGATGCATTGTCTCCTGCCAGGCGGGCTGGGGAGACATGAAGACAATTGGCCACACAGTTTTGCGTGTTCCTGTGCTCTGTCCTCACCGTCCTTTTCGTATCGTAGTCCCTGTGTTCAGTTGTGCTCTGTTGCTTTTATCTCTGGCTGTTCCTCAGTTCATTGATTCCCCAGACACATTTATCCCAACTTTGCACTCCTCGTCTCACTTATCTCAGCCCTCATCTCTTGCCTTGAGACCAAAGTGTCATGTTTGCCACCATTTTCTTGTCCCTTAATCCATCTTTCCCTACCTGATCCTATTTCATCCATATCTATGGTTGGATAAATCACCTGAATTAAGGTGAAAAAATCTTTTTTTTTTAAAATCTTCACCTGAGGATATTTTTCCATTGATTTTCAGGGAGAGTGGAAGAGAGAGGGAAAGACAGAGAGAAACACCGATATGAGAGAAACAAATTGATTGTCTGTCTCCTGCACGAGTCCCAACCAGGACCTGGGCCGAGGAGGAGCCTGCAATGAAGGTCTGTGCTCTTGACTGGAATCGAACCCCAGATCCTTAGGTCCGCAGGCCGATTCCGGTCAAGGGTCTATCCACTGAGCCAAACTGGCTAGGGCAAGGTGATTAAATCTTAGTCACCCCTATGCTCACACCTGTTTTCCTACTACATATTGCTTTGGTGAATTTCCACTTCTTGCATCTCACCTGCCACACCTTCAGCTGTTCTCAAAAGCTGTTTGCTTTCTTTACCTGACTTCATCTTTCCTAGACTTACTATTGAAGTCTGTGTTTACTGACTTCTTCCTGCTCTTATCAGTACTTATACTCACCTGTATCAAAGTCAGATACATAATGTTTCCAGCCTTACCTGTTCTCACCCTCATTTGTCTCTGTGTTCCTGTCTCTTATTTACCACAGTAATTCAATATTTGCTGTCCTCCTTCATTCCAACAGTCAGTGTGCTCCCTGCCCTCACAGGTATCTTTCCATGTGGCCACAGCCAAACCAGCTCTCCACGTCACATCATTTATTGCTTCCCTTCCCTGCCTCCTCTCAGGGGCCACATGTGCTAGCCTTACCTGTCCCTGCCCTAACTGGTTCCCAGTCACACGGAGATTCCTTCCCACTTTACTTTGTCTCTTCTGTTTCCCAGCGTGGCTGCACCTCCCATTCCCTCTGCTCACATTCTTGGGAGGTGGGATGTACACACCACTCACTTCCCTGTCCAGTTCCACTTCCAGCCTTTTTAATTTTGTGTGAATTTCCCCTCATTGCCTGCTTTGGCCATCCTTAACCTACTGAGCACGCACTTTTTCAAGCCTCTAGGACCATCCTCAGTGCAATCCTCCTTCCTCCCCACCCCCCATCCTCCTCTCCACTACTCCCTACGTCCTGCACCCTCTTCCCTGAGGCGGCCCCTCACCGGTGCCCTCAGGCAGGGTCAGCACGCCCTCGCCCTGCACCCAGCGGTAGCAGGGGAAGGCGGCCTCCTCTATCGCTCCTGGGCCCTGCACGGTGATGCGGTCGCAGAACCAGGCGTTGTCTACCAGGGAGTGGTGTTTGCGCAACTTCACAAACTGCAGTGGCCCCAAGTCCTGGGGAACGTCCTGTTCGAACTCCTCCACCTGTGGGGACAGAACCCGGTGAGACTTATTAGCGGGGACCCGGGAGAGGACGTTTAACTGAGGGTGCGGGGTCCCCTCTGGAGTCTGGGGACAAGGCCTCCAGGGACAGCATTGCCTCCTCCCAACACCGGCGCGGTGGGTCTCAGACACCCCGTCTCACCTTCTCACCCGGAGGACAGGAAGGCGGGGCGAGGCCCTGAGTGTCTTGAATTGAACACTGAGCATCATCACCTACCCCGTCCACTCACAGCTCTCACTGCGCCTGCGCTCTCGGAGGACCTTCCCTTTGACCACTGATCCCAGGACAGTGGCCTGGGGTCAACTGGGAAAGTATTGGAGGCTGCGAGGACCACTGTCGGTGGGGGAGGGAGAAAGGGGTTGAGCCCAGCCCGACCCTCTCCCCGCTTAGGGGCAGGCGTCCCAACTCCTGGGAGTCCCAGTGGGCGCGTTCGCGCGGTTACTCGCCCCCATCTCTCCCAACCCCGCCTCCTGCCGTGAGCCCGGCGGGGATTGGGGTCCCAGCTGCCCCCGCTGACCTGGCCCCGCGCTGGCCGCAGCTGCAGCTCCAGCTCCGCCTCCCCGCGCTCCCCGACCAGCCACAGCTGCACGCGGTTGAACGACCCGGAGAAGAGCCAGGCCCCGGTGGCCACGCAGATGCGGTAGCGGCCCATGGCGAGGGGGAGCCGCTCAGGGCCGCCGGCGTGAGTCTAGATGCCCTAAGGCAGTTTGGGTCTTTAAAGATGGGTCTGGGTCCCGCCCCCTTCGCTACTTTCAGGCGCTCCCAAGTCTCCGCCCCAGACGAGCCCCAACCTGCCAGCTGCCCAGCAGAATGGGGAAGGGCAGCGCCTACTGGTTTGAGCTGCTGTGGGAAGATAAAGGGGCCTTTGGCCCGGGTGAGGCCGCGAGGATGGATGTGGCAGAGCGTCCCTGAACCTCCTGGCGAGGCCTGGGGCCAAGAGCCTCCAGGTTGGAGGGAGCAAGGATGAGGACACTCCCCAGGCCTCCAGGCCTTTTGGAGAGCTGGTTGATAGAGGGGGTGAGTGGGCCTTCCCCTTCTGGAGAGGAAAGTTGGCCTTTTTCTGGACCGGGACCTTGGGAAGGCGGTGGCCAACATGTGGAAGGCCAGCCTGGGAGGCTTCGCTGGGCTGCTAGACCCCTTATGGTCCCGAAAGTCTTCAGTTCCTGATTTCTACCGCATCTGAGCCCTGTCCTTCAATAAATGACCAGAGGTTGCCAGGCTGCCTAGAACCTGGAAAAGCAACAGCTCAGAGACTTGCTCCCTGCCTCTCCCTGAACCTGGTTGCAAGCATCCTGGCATTAGGGTCCTAGTTACACCAGATATTGAAGGCCTAACGGAGGCAGGCAGTGAGAGCCTCCTTTTGTCCGACCTTCATAATGGGTGCAGGAAGGGTTAGGGGTCCGGGTATTAGGGTGCAGTATGGAGTGACTGCCCAGGATACATGGACAGTTCTCATGAACTTTGCCCTTTCCAGGTGAATGCAGCCTTTTTGTCTTCATTATATTCCAGGTAAATATTTATAATGGCCTCGTTTTACTGACCATGGTGCCTGCTTCCTCTACCAGAATTCTCAGAGATCAACCAATGAACTTGTATGCATATATGCATAACCCATGGACACAGACAATGGGGTGGTGAGGGCCTGGCTGGAAGAGGTTAATGGGGGGAAAAGGAGGACCTATGTAATACTTTCAACAATAAATATTTTAAAAATAAAAAAAGAAGTCTAAAAAATTATATGTGAACAGTAGGCACGAAGTTCCACTTTCTTCTTCCCTCTTGTCTTAATCCCACTCAACCTCAGCTATTTCCTGGTCCTTCATGGCACTCAGGGGAGGAAACCAGGGGACAGGAGAGGGCCAGTGCTGGTTAGGGACTTTGTACACATTAGAAAGATGATTCAGGGCTCAGGCTTCGTCACCCACCCAGCAACCAGATGAAGCCCTTGGTAGGTCCCTAATCTAGATCTTCTTGGTCTAAGAAGTCATTGTAAGCTTTTGGCTCACAGTGAATAGGACTGCTGGCTGGGGTAAGCCAGGGCAAGGTAAATCTGCTTTCTAGAGCGAAACCCAGGTCAAGCCCAAGGAGTCTGCTCATGAGTCTGTGGATTCATAGGTGCATCTTCAATCATGAATACACTTCTAGAAGCAGTTGATTTTGGTTGTTTAAAAAAAGAGTTGTGCTGCCCTGTATACATTTTCCGGAAGCTTGCTTTTCTCACTCAAGAGATAGATCTCTTGGAAACCTCTGCAGCTCAATAGTTATGCATCTGACTCATTCTTTTAAATGGCTGCATGGTGCTCCCCGTGCACCCAGCCATCCCTCTGTTGAAGAGCATTCAGTGGTTTCCACTTGTATGACCTGTGCTGAATGCTACAAAGGGCGTGTTTGTACCTACATCCTTGGGAACTTGACGGTTTCACTTCTCTGGGTTAGAGCCCAAGGAAAGGGTGCAAAGGATAAAAGGCTACCAGAATAAAAAACACACCCAGGAACAAAGTAAAACAAACAAATAAAAGACAAACAACACAGCTGTCTTTACTTTTCAGACAGAGAAATACACCAGAAAAGCCGTTGGCTGAGTTTTCATGGAGAGGAGTAAGTCAAGGATTTTTAAAGGGGGTGTTCCTAATGTTTACACTAATTAAAGTTGAAAGCTTATACCATGGACAGGCAGGCCGGATTGACTACACAGGCTGGATTGTATACAGTCGGTTGAACCAAGTCCTAGGTCCACTAAGAATTAGACATACCACTGTTACTCGATATTCATGGTTATTTAACATCTCCGGCTTGCTGGAAACAGTTGTGAACACCAGCATTCAGTTTTGCCATCTCCTAGGCAAGTGCTGCTAAAAGTTCTGTTACATGGAATTGCTGGCTGAAAGAGTATGCGTGTGTAGGAGACACAATTCATTTGTGAAATTATGGAGAACAGGTTCAGTAGAGAGATGGAGGCAGAATGCAGACCAGTGTGCAACCTGCCTTTGAAGAAATAAGGCCAGAAGGGAACAGAGAGAGGGCCGTAGCTGGAGGTGGGTGCGCAGCAGAGCCAGTGAGAGGGAGAGGCTGGGCTGCAGGAGAATGAGGGTAAGTGATGAGGAGAAGACCCCGAGGGAGGAGATAAAACCTGGAAAATGTGAAGGAACTGGCCTCAGATTGTGCACTCTCACAGTGGGGCAACAACGTCTTAGTTAATACAGTGGTTGGTGGCCTTCCAAAGGGCCATGCACATAAACAGATTAAAGTTTCATGGAGCCAGGACAGAGAGCGATTAGGAAAAACATGTCTTCCAGGCTTTGTAGGGGCAAAATGGGGGAAGAGGTAGAGAAACATGGCTCAGGGGTGATTTCCCTAACAGTCCTCACTCTTGGTTGCTGACACAAGAAAAATGAAAGGTTGGATTCATCCAGAACAAGTAGTGGAACAGGGACCAGAGGCTCTGGGCCTTGTTCTTACCTCCCCAACTTCATTGGTGGAGGAGGTATGGACTCCATGTTTCATTCTTGTTTGTAGCCAATTTGCATTAGCAAACATGGTGTCAAGATAAGCCTCTTAAATCCCCTCGCCAGGAAATTGGCATCTCTAGATGACTTGGGTTTACTTGTTCTGAAGCTGGCTTTCTCAACATTTGTGTAAAGGGGTTGAGAGGTTAATCCTGTTCACTCCCTCCAGCCCCACCGGAATCTATTTTCCTCAGGGATCCAACATCCAGTTCTTGGCCTTTCTGTTTAGGACTGAACTGCCAGGCCAGGCCCACAGCATCTTGGGCTTCTAACTCCATTTTTGAGAAGTAAAGATTGAAGGACAAGTGTGTTGTGCGGCCCCAGCAGAGGGTACAGAGGATAGAGAAATTCCATTTCTTCTCGGGGATCCTTGCCAGCACCCTCTAACCATCCCAAACTGTTAATCTTTCTCTTTCTGTTTACCATGTAATTGTACATTATTCAAATACCTTGTTCACACTGACTTTAGACAATTTTTATGTATGTCTACTGTTGATGGCTTTCTTGCTCCATTCTGTGTTGAACCATTTTTAAAAACTATCACTAACCCAAAGGTGTTCCACCCAGCAGACTTGTACTGAAGGTTTGAAGAGGTAATAACCAGGGCAGGGACTGGGGTGATGTGAGTGGTACTTAACCTCAGGTGCAACACTTAAGGGGCCCCACAAAAACCCAGTAATCAAGATAAATAACCATGATGAACAAAATATCAAATTTTAAACAAAGACAGGATCATCTGTAAGGATTCATATTAGCCATCTATATTCTTAACATTTTTTTGCAATCATTCCTGCCACCAGAAATTGCTCTGTGGCCTACTTGACTCCCCAGTACCCCCATGTCCAACCCACAGGTCCTTGTGGTAGAAATACCTTACCTTCTTTTTGCTTATTCCCAGACTGTCTCACCTCTCTCTCCCTCTCTCTCCTCCCCACTAATGGCATACTTGAGGAAAGTCAGTATTATTCTTAGTTTATTATGTAAAACAACTTATCTCTCAGTCTCATCTTTCCTCTGCTCTGCTTCCTGGCTTTCCAAAACCAAAGTGGCTCTTGGGATGTTTTGTAAATAGTCATAAGCCTATTGTACTTTACCAACATAAATAAATGATTTTCAAAATTAATTCTCAGGCATCACTGTTTTTTTTATTATTGTCTGTAAAATGGAAAAAACACACATAGAGATTGATTTTCTTAAGATTCATACACTGCCACCCCCATCTTCAAAAAACAATTGGCAATTGGCTGACAATCCAGGTGTGTGTGTGTGTGTGTGTGTGAGAGAGAGAGAGAGAGAGAGAGAGAGAGAGAGAGAGAGAGAGAGAAGAGAATGAATGTGTCTACTTTAATCTTATGAAACAGAGTGGATCTTATCCCTGCTTTATAGTGAGGGGCTAAAGTTCAAGGAGGGGAGAGGTGAACTAGCCCAGAAAGTGTCATGAGCTTGATTCATATTGCTACCACCCATTCTCTGACCCTTAGTGTAACCTTTTGTCCTTACCACTCTGATGAATCCACTCCCCAGTCTTATGACTTCTTCATTCTTTAAAGTATTACATATGTCTCTTTTTTCTCCATTGACCCCTTCCCACCGCCACTCTCACCCCCGAGGGCAAGCCCCCACCGCCCCAGTGTCTGTGTCCATTGGTTATGCTAATATGCATGCATACAAGTCCTTTGGTTGATCTCTTAGTACCTCTTCATTCTTAAATCCTTGTGTGCTCATTATTGTAAAAGTCTGTTGCTTTGATTAGTTAGGACTCTTCCTAGGATATACAGGGTCTAAAGCAAATAATTTTTTGCAGGCCCTTTATCTATATAAACAACTCGATTAAAAATGTATCACACAATTCACGGGCCCATGTGAGGGATGGTGGTTTATCAGTGAATTTTTAGGATAATGGTTAGTGAGATAGTACTTACATATTTGTTTATTATGCAGCCAGTGCACATGGAGCTGCAGGTGCATCTATTCCAGAAGATTCCTGAGAAAGAGTGCTTAAGAGGTGCATTTTTTGATATCTTGCATGTTTGAAAAAGTCATTATTCAACTCACATTTGATTGGTAATTTGCCTAGAAATAGACTCCTGGATGAGAAATTAACTTCCCTCAGAATTTTGAAGGTATTCCTGTTAGTGAAAGTATAGGCTAACAAAGAAGCCCCACAATATAGTGACCTACACATTGATCAGTAGTTCCTATATTATCTCTTCTATTTTCCAGCTCTTTTTTAGTATTTTCTTAGAGACTTTCTCAACTTCTCCACCTCTTCTAT